CTTGCTCCAAGGATGCAAAACATTCTGCGCTTACCCCATGGTTTAGTCATCTTCTAACTACAGAACCCTAGAAAAAGAGACATCACGAGTGTGTCTCCCTCAATGAGTCTTGGTGACTCCACAAAGAAGAGAAGAGACACTCTAGAGTATCTCTGATCCTCTTGTAAATTTGTTAAGGATGATTAGCTAGTATTTGATTAACAATAAGCTGTTGGTGGCAGGGAATTAACAGCTTTTATCTATTAGCCTGGACAGGTGAGGTCTGTTAATGGGGGCAGTAGGATTAAATCAACATGATCATAATCAGTAATCGGTATTACAGCTGAGAGTTGAGAGACTATGAGTCAAGCTGAGAAGGCAAGATGAGGTTAGCAGCTGAAGTCAGAAGAAATGGACAGAGAAGCCAAGCTTGAACGGGTTAGGAAATCTCAGGTCCTGTGGAAGAATTTGCTCTCTCTGTCAGGCTTCTTCCATTCTAGGTCACATAGGAACACGACACTTAGCCAGTGGGCAAGACTGGTCCAAAGCTTTCTGATTGTGTAGACAACACTGAGTAATGGAAAAAACAGCTACTTAAAAACAAAGCAAAACTAAATAACAACACCTATGTTAGAGGTCTGGGTCCAACATAATTGTCACAATGGAAAGGTTCATTAATATCTCTGAAAATCAGTTTTTTCATTAGCAAACTCGGGGGTGGGGTGGGGTGAGTGGGTAACCTCCCTCAGAGAGAAGTTTTTTTTAAGGATTAAATTAGACCTGTACAAAATAAAAAGATCTTTAATTGAATTTGCCCCAAACTAAAATATACCATACATGATTAAAATTGGCTATTAATGCCATATCATTCCAATGAAGAGTATTCAGATAATAATTCTTTCTGGAGACAGATTCTTTCCCCTTACATAATGCCTAGATACCTTCAGACTCTTGAGAGTTCTATTAAAAATTCCCATTACATCAGAGATCATTCTAAAAGATGAAAAAGCTGAAAGAGCTTAGAAGAGTATGCTTATGACTCAATGTGGGATTAATAGTAAGATTGTCAGCTATGAAAAAAATAAACTTGATGTTCTATATGACCAGATCTGTGCAGATGAGTGATTGCTCTGAAGATGAGTGATTGCTTTCTGTGAGAGTAACCAGTGTGGAAGATCAGGGGGCAGGGGGTGATAGATTTCATAGAGCAGCTGCTGACCATAGGGACAGAACGGGTAAAGGAGGGACCACTGGGCATGGAGACAAATGACCAACTAAAGGCTAATAATGACCTTGCCACTCACCTAGTGTGACCCTGTGGAAAAGTATAGTGCTTTTTACTACATTTATGAATCGAAAGGCTGGGACCAGGTGACCTCTAACATTTCTTTCAGTTATAATAGTCTATGATTCTGCAAATTAACTATGCCCTGCATTTATACAACATATTTTACTTTCTAAAGTATGTTCATATCTGTTATTCTCTGATCTGGTGAGGCAGACATGGTATATATTTTTATCCACATTTTATGAGTAAGGGAATACAAATGTGGAGGTTATAGCTTCCACAACATTTCACTGTTAGGTTTGAGAAAAGGATGCAAATTCAGATATATTTTGTTGATTTTTAAAATTATATTGGAGTTGAGAGTGTTTCCCTTTAAGAGCTCTTGGCAATTACAAATTATTTGAACTATCATGTCAGGTGGTGGCTGCCATGGAAACTGCATGAATACATGAAGCATGCTAAGCCTGTCACCACATCAGATGTTGCTGCCCTTTGGCTATGCTGACTTACTTACTCAACTATTGTGTGTGTGTGTGTGTGTGTGTGTGTGTGTGTGTGTTTAATATTTCTCTTCCTTTCTTTTTTTCCAAATACATGTGAACTATGTTTATAATCCAAAAAATTTTATTTTGAAGTGACTCATTCTTATGAAATGCATTCAGTGACTTGAAACAAAAGAATCCAGTAGAAATACAACCTGGAAAAATAACCTATTAAAATACATACTATTCATTTTATATTTTTCTGGCTCAACTAAAATGTTAAAAGAAGCTAAGAAAGAATAATTAAATCCATGAGGTGTGATTGTGCTTATATTCCAATTTTAAAGAAAAACCATGCATGAGTTGACATGTGATTTTTCCTTATAAATAATATATAAAGGTATTCAGTATGTCTGAGTTCTGAACAAAGCTATAAATTTTAAAAATTTGCATGCATTTGTGAACTATTAACACTTATAGGCATAATAAATCTTAAAAGAGCAGTCATTGCTTTTATATTATGTTATTAAATATAAATGTAACTTACATATGTATATATAATATACATGTTTGTAAATAGTTACCACCTGCTGTAGACTGAATGTTTGTGTTCCCCAGAATTCACGTGTTGAAATGGAATCTTTAATGTAATATAATTGAGAGTGGGGTCTTCAGAAGGTGATTAGGTCATGAAGGCGGAGCCTTTGTAAATGGGATTAGTGCAGTTTTAAGAAGTGCCCCAGAGAATTCCCTCAAATGTTTTTAAATTGCCTGTGTTCTACCCTAAGAAATAAGAGAGACATAGATGCCCAAATTATATGGACCCAAGATATTTACATTTTCCTACATTCACTATTCTTTAGCAAATACATTTAACCTCAATTTTTTGTCATCTTAATTGTCACCTTGTGATGCCAATTGTGGGTGAAGGGGTAACTGTCAATACTTTACTTTTGTTGCTGCCAATTTATAAGCTATTATGGCACATTGGTATTCTTTTATTTGCATTCCTTTGATTCATAATAAGAAGGCTTTTTTGGCCTATTAGTTAATGATAAGACTTCCGTAAAATATTTATTCATAGACTTAGCCATTTTGCTTATAGATTTATATTAAGTGTTTATATATAAAAGGAAATAAATTTTAATAGTATAGAAAACATTAATATGTTTGATATGTAAAATATTTAAATTTTTATGTAGTAGGCAAATATATCATCATTAATATATTGGTTTTACTTTTAAAAGTTTCTCATCTTCCATGTCTTAAATATTCATATATTCTTTATAGTTTTCATTGTTACCTTTAAGCTCTCTGTGAAGTTTTTAAAATTTTTTATTTATTGATTTTAGAGGAGGGAAGGGGGAGAGCGAGAGAAACATCAATTTATTGTTCCACTTATTTATATATTCATTGGCTGATTCTTGTATGTGCGCTGACTGGTAATCAAACCTGCATCCTTGTTGTATCAGGATGATGCTCTAACCAACTTAGCTACCTGGCTAGAGCCCTCATCAAGTTTCAAAACTGTATATTTTGGGTGTAACACTTATAATTTTTTCTCAAAATAATTTTTTCTCAACACAATGTTAAATATAATATATTATTTTCCTATAAAATTGTGGTATTTTAAGCCCTATATTGAGATTCTAAAATTGGTTTTAGTGCTACCCTGTTCTTTGATTCTTTTTTTTTTTTTTTAATCCTCATTCGAGGACATTTTTCCATTTTTCGTACAGACAGAGTGGGAGGGAGAGAGGGGAAGAGAGAGAGAGGGAAACATCGATGTGAAAGGGACACATCGAGTGGCTGCCACCCGCACGACCAACCAGGGCCGGGGACAAACTGCAACTGAGGTACGTGCCCTTAGCGGAAACCGAACCCAGGTCTCTCTGAACCGCAGGCCGACGCTCTAACCGCTGAGCCAAACCGGCCAGGGCTGTTCTTTGATTCTTAAGTCACCACCACACTGGGTTAAATATTAGAACTTTAAAACAAATTTCTATATCTCATAGCATAATTCACTCCTTAATATGATTCATAATTCTCATTTGTTTACTTTTTCCACATAAACCTAGTAAAGTTCTCACTCCCACCCAATCAAAATTTTCAATGCTTTCCCCCCCAATTTCTTTTAGTTTATTTGTTCTGCCTTATTTTTAATGTTTATCACAAATATGGAAGAAGTTATCATTTTACTAGAAATGTTGTATAATGAAATCGGAGTTTATCTAATCTTGTTTATACAGGGCACCTTGATAAATATGAATTAATATTGGGCAGGAGTTCAAAAAGGCATTGATAAAATTGCTTTGAATACATGTAACTTGGAAAATAAACATTGAGTACAGGAATTTTTTAAAGCAGGGGTGGTGTCAGTAAAGAATTAATATCCATAAAGAGAACACATGAGATAGTTAACTGGTAAGCTCATTTGTATTACTGAACTGGAGTGCTGTTATCCTGAAGGGCAAGCTTTTTTTTTTTGTTACTTTGCAAAATTTGTTTGCCTTCTGGAAAAGTAATACAGGGCATTTCTCAAAAAGCATTCTGCTCCAGAAGGTTTCCTCTAACTCACCTTCTACCCCAGGCATGCATCACAGAGGAGAGTTGCATGAAACCAGGATACAAGAAAGACTTATATCTTCAGCACTTACTGCATTATGTTCTTATTTATAAATTTTGACAGTTATAGAAATTACAAGCCCAATTGAATTATAGATTTGAGACTTTAATGGGGGAAAGAAGTCAATATTTTAAAGAAGATCATACATATGAAGGAGTGAAATATCACAGATAACCTAAGATTTAAAACCAGATTTTCTTATGTATTGGTGGTTTGGTGATCAACAACTGCTTATTTTATTCCATCTGATTTAAATTTTCTCACTCATAAAATAGATCATACTAATTTTGTAAGGAGTGTACAGAAGATGAAAGAAAACAATGGAATGATTTAAAAACTAGTAACAATACTGAAAACATAGTAGTAATAAATGTTAATAATTGTTATATATTCCAATTAATGAGCAATTTTAGGAGTGTCAAATTCTCTGTAATACTAGAGGTTGGCAAACTAAAACACACACAAAAAAGCCATGAGATAGAAAAACATACAGAAAAGCTTATAGACAAAGTGCAAATCTAAACAGATTCAAACCTAGCTGATACTTCATTAATATATTCACAGAAAGATCAATATTGAAACTTTGAGTCCTATAAAGGATAATATTTCTTCAAACGGTGCTTACCTATATGGAACTTTGAACTGTTTGAAACAGTGGAACCATCACCCTGATTGTATTTGTTGGAAACAGAAGCCCTGAAAAAACAGTAACAAAAAGGAATATATATCAAAGAATATAAAGTGTGTGGAAGGGAGAAAATAAAAATTGAAGATAAGTGATAATTTTTTATATAAAACCCCAACAATTAAGACTTAAAGAAAAATTCAGAAAACAAAGTAATTCATTTGCCAACAGAAATATCTTTAGTCAATCTGAAGTAATGTGTTTTCTGTATTGGGAATATCTAAGAGCTGTGTTATTAAAAACTTGCCTGCAAAATTTGTCTCAAGTTCCTTAAAATTTTCCATGGCTTCAGCATGTATTATGGGCTTTAAAAGAAAAAAAGAGGTCACAAATTAATAACCAGATGATTAGGGGAGAAAAAAGAAAAAAAAAATTAAAACATATTTTAAAACTGAAGAAAGGAGCTCACTCTGATAGTCTGATTAAAGAAACAAGAACAAAAATCAAACACTGCTGTGACCATTTATCTCTAGCAATGCAGCAGAAGTAGATGAAATAATTTTTGACAGAATAATAGCAAAAAGCTTGTTCAGAGATATAAATTATACTGTAGCATTTTCAGATAAGTTATCAACACCCAGAAAGAAAATTTATAACTCTACCAAGGAAGGTTGAGAATTATCAGAATAAGACAACATGCTGCAAGAGATAAGAGATGAGAAATATTATAGAGTCTATGTTCCTCAGTACTGAATATACTCAAGAGAAGGTAACAGTTGCACAGTTGTAAAATGTATGGGCATGGGGAACCTCATTTTTTGTAGATATGATAATTTCTTTCTGATATATGAATTATAATACAATCACTTAAAATTTTAAAGGTAATTATAGACTGAAGTTAAGGAAATTATTTTTCTTGAAATGTAAACTGTAAATATGTGGACAGAACAATTCATCAGGTGATCTTTCAAGAATCTTTGAACTCTTTGGAGGTCCAAGGGAGTTGTGAGGATTAATTTTGTGGCACTGCCATTCAATTATATTTTATAGCAGAATAAGCTACTGAGAGGTAGAATGTCAAGATTAAAAAAATAACAGGAAAAAAGAGGAGTGCATTTATTCATTTATTTATTTCATCACTTATTTAGTGACTATTTATTGAGTGCCTGCGATATGCTAGTCAGTGTTTTTAGATGCTGGCGAGACCATAATAGTAAGTGAGGCTGTCGACGTTTTGTCAAATTTTTACATTAGAATGATAGCAAGAAAGATGTGACAACATATAAATTAATATTAGATATATTAGATAGTAATTTGTGCTATGAAAAACATAGTGCTATCACTCACAATGCTGATGAAAATTCAGGATGTACAGAGTATTCCAGAAAAAGTAGACCCAATGTAAATTATCCAAATGAATGTCGCTCAGTGGGAAATAAAGTGAGTTTCCGTGTAACTCAGCAGCGCTTCCTGAGCGCACGTGGTGCTGACCCGCAGGGCTGACTCACCAGGCTGGGGGGGGGGAGGCGGCTTCTGCCTGTCACAGTGGATGCCCTCCAGGGTTGCAAGCCCTCTCAGCGGGTGCAGCGGATGGCTGACGTGGGAAATACCATAGCCTCCCCTTATCTGTGGTTTTGCTTTTCTCAGTTACAGTTACCCATGGTCAACTGCGGTCCAAAAATGTGAAATGGAAAATTCCAGAAATAAACAGTTCATAAGTTTTAAATTGCGCACTATTCTGAGTAGCGTGGTGAAATCTTGTACCAACTGTTTTACTCCGTCCTTCCTGGGATGTGAATCATCCCTTTGCGCAGTGTACCGCACTGCATAGCGCCTGCCTGTTAGTCACTTAGTATCGGTCTTGGTTATCACATCAAAGGTCACAGTGCTACAGTGTTTGTGTTCAAGTAAACTTTATTTTACTTAATGGCCTCGAGCACAAGAGTAGTGATAATGGCCATTAGGAAATGCCAAAGAGAAGCCTTAAAGTTTTTCTTTTAAGTGAAAAGGAAGTTTGTATAGGAAGAAACATAGTATACGGTTTGGTTTCAGACATCCACCGGTAGTCTTGTGGGGGCATTACTGTATACAGGCCCAGCCCTTTCCATCAATTTCAGACAATTCTAAAGGTAATCACAGTTCCAGAATTCCACGTGGGATCAGCTGAGACCTCAGCTGTACCCAATGGGGTCATCCTCCTCCTCTGACCAAACTTGCTTCCACCCTTACTTCTGTACAGGGAGTCAAGAGCTTCCATTCTGAGCTTGGTAGAAACTCAGAACAGTCTACACAAAAGGAAATAAAATACAAAGCTTGGGGGGGGGGTGCGGATTTAAATATTGAATTTATATGAAACCTGAAAATAACATTTGTTGAAAATTTTTAATAAGAAATGAGCTTATGTTTGTTAAAAATACTTTAAATATTGCGTTTTATGCTTGAAAGGCCTCCTTGTCGAGACGTTTTAATGATGATTATTTCAATACTTGATAGTCACCATCGAAGAAATTCTTTGTTCATACAGATACACGAAAAATTACCTTAATATATTTTAAGACTATTTTAGAACTTGGGACTATTGAAATTGTATTTAAAAGATATTACACATATTTTTTCTTTCATTAGTAATTTAATGATAAAAATTCTTGTGGTAATTATAATAGATATCAAATCCATTTTAATTTTTTCTTTTTTTATCCTCACCGGAGGACATTTTTCCATTTTTTATTCATATAGAGTGGGAAGGAGAGAAAGGAAGAAAGAGAGAGAGAGAGAGAGAAACATCGACGTGAAAGGGACACATCGAGTGGCTGCCACCCGCATGGCCCAACCAGGGCCGGGGACAAACTGCAACCGAGGTACATGCCCTTAGAGGGAACCGAACCCGGGTCTTTGTGGACCGCAGGCCAATGCTCTAACCTCTGAGAAAAACCAGCCAAGGCCCATTTAAACTTCTTCAAATAAAATTTTCTAAATAATAGGGAATCTTCTGCAGAGTACACATATGTTGCCTGGGCTGTGTCCCAGCTGCTAGTTTTCAGGCGCCTCTAAAAACACACCTGAATTGCAAAATAAGCAGAACCATCGGATGTATGTGAGGACAGTTTTAGATCCTCCCCCGACCCTGGTCTGTATACCATGCTCTTGGGATGCTCTTGGGGCACCTGGGACACACAACATGCAGTATGGTAGATGTTGTAACCCATTGAGATCAACCATGCTCAGACACCAGGTTTAAGGTTTAAATTTGGTGGAGCTTTATTTGCTTGCACAGGGTTTGCAGCCTCTCTGAGTTGAGGAGAACTGCAGATCCTGTGCAGAAAAATAAAGCTTCACCAAATTTAAACCTTAAACCTGGTGTCCGAGTGTGGTTGATCTCAATGGGTTACAACATTTGGAGGCCCCAGCAAGATGTACCACAAAGTCCCCCTTCCTTGGGGTCGACCTCCTCGGTCATAGGCGGAGGAAGCCTCCACACCCTCTGCCTCTACATTTGTTGTGATTAGGCATCCAGGCGTTTGGTTTGGGGCTGATAACTTTGTCAGGAGGTCGTCCTCTAGTTAAGCGACTGCGGTCTTTAGTTTCCCTCTTTGGCTTCTCTCCAGAGATTTTGGCGGGGTTGTTGACTGGCGGGACGCCAAGGTACAGTCACTCCCCTGGTCGGCACGAGATGCCGTGACTGGCTGTTGGAACCCTTTTGGGGTCATTTGTTTCTGGACCATCCTTGGGTTGTTTGGCTTTGAACCCTCCTTGGGTAGTTTGGTTTTGGCTCTGTGTTCTTTATTGTTTGTTTTGTATCTGTCATTTGTGTCGACTTATTATTTTTCCACAGAATGGGCCAAGGAGACTCAAAAGCCCACACCCCCTTACAGTGCCTTTTGAATAACTTTTCTGATTTCTTTAAGTGCTCCTGTGACTGGAAAACCTGCTGATCCTGGTTTCCTGAGAACACTCTGTGAACTTGAATGGCCTGCCTAAGGTAGTCTCAATTTGCAATTGGCTTTTATGGTCCGTCAGAAAATATACAGGAGCCCTGGTCACCTGGAACAAATGCCATATATTGATATTTGGATTGATATAACTACTGACAAACCCAATTATATTAAGAAATGTCAGTGTCCAGAGGTTCAAATGAAAGGCAAAACAGTTTTGTTAACAATGCCTCAGCCTGCCTGAAGGACAGTAACTCCTCCCAGCACCTTCCCCCCCCCCCCGCCCCGGGAAATTATACTCATCTTTCAGGACCCCCCTGAGGATATACTAAAATGTTAATTAACCTGGGTTTGCCTACTTTGGGTTCTTATTACAGAAAAGTTAGAAGATGAATTTGGATCTGTTAATGATCTATTGATTTGAAAAATGTCTATTGAAAATATGAATATATTTGCCAATCTGAGGAATGTTAATTACTTGTACTTGTCAAAAAAAATTCAACATTTCTAAAAGTTAAAAGTTCAGATTCAGTTAAAAAGAAATTATATGGTTTTGATGAGAGAAAATATAAGATATAGAAATATATATATATATTCTTTTTAAAAAATTGTTCTAAAACTGGTTATTTCTGAAAGGATAAAAAGGTTTATGAAAGTTAAAAGATTTATTAAGAGACATCTTAGAAGGAAATCATAAATAAAATAAATAATAAATTTAATAAGATACATGAATCTAAAATAAATTAATATAGAATCTATGTGGTTCTTTTTCAGCCTGTTAAAAGGGAAAAAGTTTTTTCCCCCAATATTTGCCTGGGAAGCAAAAGTTATATATATTATTGAAATAGTTTTATGTTATGTTAATCAAGTACTTGATTCCTTAAAGACCCATTTTCTTAATAATAAGAACTGAAGTTTCACTGACCTATGTTTATGTTTAACATCTGTCATTGTCACTTAAAATGAATAAATCATTGAATACTATTTAGTAATAATACTATATAATCTTTTGGTCAAATATGTTTGACAACCTTCCCAGGATTTGAATTTTAAGAAACTTTTTCTTGACCTGGAATTCCTCAAAGATTTGTTTTCTCTCCTTGTGAAAGGAAACAAAATCAGTGCAGATGGCCTAACACA